CTCATTGAACCTTCATAAAAACTCCATGAAGTAGATACTATTGTTATTTCCTATTATATAGATTTTATAGATTAAAAAAACTGAAGCACAGAGAAGTTTATTCTGTGTCCAAGGTAACACAGCTAGTAAGTGGCAGGATTAGGAGAAAGGATCTTGCAAGGTAATTAGGACATCATTAAATAGCTATAAAAAGAAACTGACAAGATTTAGATGAAGGAGGTAATTTCAGAAAGAGGAAATTCTAAATCCAGATAAGAATTATTACATGACTTTTCTATCACATTGGCAGGAAAGAAAAAACATTTTGAGAAATATATTGCAATAAAAAGGAGAATTTGACAACTGACTCAGTATTCTAAATTAAAGGAGAAAAAAAGAAATAGGCGTTCAGCGGTTATTGAATTATATGATAGGGTTAAAAAATGACCCGTATGATGAAAAATTTGCTAAAGAGAATAGGAGGAAATCAGCTGTTTTGTTAAGGCCAAATTGCTTACTTAGAGAACATTCCAGAAATTTCTGTAAAATATATTCATTCAAAACATGCACTTTTAGTAAATAAAGGTCAAGTTTAGAATCCAGTTGTGGCCTCACATTCTAAGTACTTCCCAGATTTGGTATTTAATAATAAAAATGCCCTTTTAACAGTGATTAATGCCTTATTGTCCATTCACTTAAGGTTCCTAAAATGAAAACACTAAGAGAGTAGTGAATATGTTGGGAGAATTCTTATACATGGGAAGGCCAAATCTAGGAGGGCATTGGAGTGAAAGTGGAAGGCCAAGGGGTAAAGACAGGCAGGGCAGCCAAGTGAATGAGAGGGATAAAGATGAGTAATGAGAGACTGAGGAAAGAGGAGTTGGAGTAGGGATGATAATCATCTTCATTTTTCTGGTAAGTGTATCTGCATATTCTAGAAGACTAGAGTTTTGTGCCTGTATTTATAGTGTAAAATATATTTTTAGTTACATTTTTCCTCTCATGCTGGGCTTTCTTTTCTTGAGCTGTTCTAAGCATAGTTTTAAAAAGCTTCATTAGGCTGCATTTGTAACATTAATTACTAGACTATATTAAGGTTTTTATTCATTTTCTTGGTACAATTTGAGATTCAACTTTTTTCCCATGTCTATGTTTTAAGCCCAAGAATTAAAGTTGAAATTCCGTGTGTGTGTGTGTGTGTGTGTGTGTGTGTGTTTAAATGCTTCTTTATTTTTATTTTTTCTTAATATATTTTTACTGATTTCAGAGTGGAAGGAAGAGGGAGAGATAGAAACATCAATGATGAGAGAGAATCATTGATCCGCTGCCTCCTGCATGCCCCCCATTGGGGATGGAGCCTGCAACCCAGGCATGTGCCCTTGACTGGAATCGAATCCAGGACTCTTCAGTACGCAGGCTGATGCTCTAACCACTGAGAACTCGGCTAGGGCATTTTTGTGTGTGTTTTAACTGTTCCTGGCTTCAGCACAGTCCTAGATCTGAGAATTACATTCTATTTTTTGGTAACAGGTGACTTAGGGCAGTGGAAGCCCACTGAGAGGCAATATGTAACTTGCCCTGTATATATCATGCCCTGAAACAAAAACAGATTAGTAAGTAAAGACTGTGAGGTTTTATAGTACACAATGCTCTATTTTAAAAGTAAGTATTTAATTAAAAGGAAGAACTAATTTTTATTAAAGATACAGGAAATTTTTTGTTTAGATTGTTTTTATGAGTATTATGTAATAGTGAATATGTGAATCTTCCCCTAGTGTAAAGGAATGCTCAGAAATATGTCAAAAGCATATTATATTGCTGAGAAAGTTAGGAAGAACACAGTATTTTATCATTAAAAAGAGCACAGCTTTAACCCTGGCTGGGTGCTCAGTTGGTTAGAGCATCGTCCCAATATCCAAAGGTTGCAGGTTCAATCCCCAGTTAGGGCACATACAAGAATCAACCCATGAAGGCATAAATAAGTGGAACAACAAATCAATATCTCTCTCTTTCTCTCTCTCTCCCTCCCTCCCTCCCTCTCTCTCAGAAGTAAATAAAATAATGTGCTTTAAAAAAGGAAAGAGCACAGCTTTGATGTGAGACAAGTCTAATACAGATACATGCTCCAGTTCACGTTAGCTATAAGTCCTCCATCCATTTATTTGCCTGTTTATAGCTAGTTTGTTTATGTTTTAAAAAATGAGGTAATACCTACCTTGCTGTAGCATTACACAGATTAATTTGAATAGCAAAGCACAGTACCTAACATGGTGCTTGGCAGATTGTAAGAATCAATAAATGGTAACTATGATTTTTGAGAGGTTAGCATTGCATAATGGACCTTGGACTTAGGCGGTAGAATCCCTAGCTGCGGTGCTTACTTACAGTGTAACACTTGAGTAAGTAATCTTTTTTTCTCTTCAGTTAGCTCACATTAAAATGAGGAATTGCCTACCTTGGAGGGTTTTTTTGTGTGTGTTTGTGTTTTTGTTTTTGTTAAGAATTAACGAGATAATTTATATAAATCATCATGTTTGCTTATTACCACTCCTAGGTCACGCTGTGAAGCTCTATGGTAAATTGCGTTATTTATTTAAAGTCATTGTCAATGTTTTCCTCAGCCAATATCATATTCAATGGTGAAAAACTGAAAGCTTTTTCTCTAAAGTCAGGAACAAGAAAAGGATGTCCATTCTCACCACTATTATTCAGCATAATTCTAGAAGTCCTAGCCAGAGCAGTCAGGCAAGTGAAATAAATAGAAGTAGATGCAGATGACATGATTCTGTATATAGAAGACCCTAAAGACCACCAAAAATATTTGAAACAATAAACAAGTATAGTAAAGTTGCAGGATACAAAATCAATGTACAAAAATCCACTGTTTTACTATATACTAGCAATGAAACTTCAGAAAAATAAATGGGGGGAAAAATACCAATTCATTTGCAATTGCAACCAAAAGAATAAAATACCTAGGAATAAACTTAAAGGATGTGAAGGACCTATATACCAAAAACTAAAAAACTATTAAAGATTAAAAAAGGCACAATGAAATGAAAAGATATTCTGTGTTCATGGATTGGAAAAATCAACGTAGTTTAAATGGCTGTATTACCCAAAGATTTAATGCAATTCCCCATCAAAATCCCAATGCCATTAAAAAAAAAAAAGAACAAAAAAAATCATCAGATTTGTACGGAACCAAAAAGACCCTAAATAGCCAAAGCAATCCTGAGAAAAAAGAACGAAGCCAGAAATATCACACTACCTGACTTGCAAATTATACTATAGAGCTATGATAATCATAACACCATGGTATTGGCAGAAAAACAGACACATAGAAGAATGGAATAGGATTGAGAGCCCAGAAATAAAACCACATGTATATGGCAAATAATTTTTGATAACCCAAACATACACAATGGAGAAGAGAAAGCCTTTTAAAAAATGGCACTAGGAAAATTGGAAAGCCACATGCAAAAGAATGAAACCAGAAGCAGTTTGTCCCCATGTACAAAAAGTAATTCAAAATGGATCAAAGGCCTAAATATAAGATCTGGAACAATAAATTACATAGAAGAAAACATAGGTACTAAACTTACGGACCTTGGTCTTAGAGAAGATTTTATGAATTTGACCCCAAAGGCAAGGGGAGTAAAGGCAAAAATAAATGAGTGGGACTATATCAAACTAAAAAGCTTCTGCACAGCAAAGGAAACCAGTAAAACAAAAAGGCAATCAACTGAATGGGAGATGATATGTACAAACAACAGCTCAGACAAGGATTTTTAATATCCAAAATATATATAAAGAACTCATACAACTCAACACCAGACAAACAATTCAATTGAAAAATGGGCAGAGAACCTGAACAGCCACCTCTTCCAAGAAGACATACAAATGGCCATCAGATATGAAAAAATGTTCAACTTCACTAGCTATTGGGGAAATGAAAATCAAAACCACAATGAGATACCACCTCACACCTGTTAGAATGGTTCTTATCAACAAGACAGGTAATAAGAGTTGGAAAGGTTGTGGAGAAAAAGGAACCCTATTCATTGCTGGTTGGAATATAAACTGGTACAGCCACTATGGAAAACAGTATGGTGGTTCCTCAAAAAATTAAGAATAGGGTTACTGTATGACCCAGCAATCTCTCCTCTGGGTATCTACTTGAAAAACTCAAACATTTCATTTGCAAAGATATATATACTCCTATGTTTATGGCAGCATTATTCATGGAGGCCAAGATATGGAGATAACCATAGTGTCCTTTGATAGAGGATTGGATAAAGAAGATGTACATATATACTATGGAATACTGTTCATTTGCAACAACATGGATGGACCTTGAGAATATTATGCTAAGTGAAGTGAATCAGTCAGAAAAAGCTAAGAACCATATGATTTCACTCCCATGTGGGATATAAAACTGAAACTCATAGGCACAGACAACATTGTGGTTGTTACCAGTGTTAAGAGGGGATGGGGGCAGGTAGTAAAGGGGGCTAAATATATGATGATGGAAGATGATTTGACTTTGGTTGATGGGCACACAATGCAATATACAGGTCATGTATTGTAAAAATGTACACTTGAAATCTATATGATCCTATTAATGTCACCCCTATAAATTTATTTTTTTAAATTGTTTTCATGCAAGATCTTACCTGCATAGGATAATGTTTAAAAAGAAGCAATAGGGTGTATGTAGAGCAAAGTTACTTTATTTACTTAAACTCATTTTTCCTTTTGAAAAAAACAGTAACTTTTAATTTTCCCCTACAAATGATTGAGAATTAAATTAACTTTTAAGTATTTACAATTAATTTTTATCCCATTACATAGATTGTAAGCTCCTGAAGGACAGTTTCCATTTTATAATTCTTTGTTATTCCCATAAATTGTATAGTGCCCTATATCTCTTGTTGGATAATTAACAATCAACTTATTATTAGTTGATTTTGTTAATTACAAGTGGGGAGAAAACATATTTACTTTTTTCTTCTTTTTTAAAAAATATGGAACGCTTCATGAATTTGCATGTCATCCTTGTGCAAGGGCCACGCTAATCTCTATCATTCCAATGTTAGTATATGTGCTGCTGAAGTGAGCACAAAACATACTTACTTTTAACATGATCTGAACTATGTCTCTTGTCAGGTTAGATACACAGATATACTTCAATCTATGCTATGAATTTTATTTAGGAATATAAATTTATATTTCCCGGTGATTTTTGATTACACAAATGATTAGGTAGGTGCACTTTAAAGAGAGATGTTTACTTTGCTTTACAACTGGTCATTGAATACTGCCAAAGTCAGCATTTGAGGAAAGATTAGATGAGTGAAGAGCTAAAGGGATAGAAAAACTTTGTTTTCTGAGCTATTGAGAGGATTTTTACATTGGGTTGGCTAAATAGACCATAGTCTTCAGAGTATAATTCTATGCAGGTTCCTGACTATGTAAGTTATTGTTAAAGGTAAGATTTTTTTTTCCTTATGTGACCTCATTTTAAGTTGTGAATTAAATTTTAACTGAGTTGTAGTAATGTGACTCTTTTGATAAATCTTATTACAGTAAATTCTGATACTGTGCAGCACATTGGAGATTGAAATAATTTGGTTCTTATATAAAGAATTATGGCATTTGTTTATGTGTCTATTATAGGTAGTTATAGTTGAATGTTTGCTGTTACTAGGACTTGTTTTGATTCATCATTTTTATTTGACTCACTGGAATCCATCTGTTATAGTTTAACGTTCAAGGTTCTATGTAATATTTTTGTTAATGAAGGGTAATATTAACAGCATTATGAAGTTTTTCTCTTTTAATCTTGAAAGGAAAAAAATCCATATCTAAAAAAGCAATCACAAAGAAGAGGAAAACTGTCACAAAGTTACCTACTGTACCAGAATTTCAGGTAAGTGTTTTAGTTTTCTCTCAACATTTTTTTTTAAAGTTTTGTTTCAGTGTTTGTATTGTTTGTAAAGAAATTAGCTAAATTCCACGTAGCACACACATACTTTCAAAGAAATGTTTCCAACTGTGACTTTTTTCCCTACAAGTACAGACATAGCTGGTACTTATGAGTTAATCTGCTAGTATTTCAAACAAATTTTTATCTTACTTTTTTCTGATAGAAATTTCTTTTTTATATACTATACTGTTTTGTAGAAGTAGTTTAATAGAACTATATATAAAAGTAAACGTGTAAATGAAAGTATTCCAAGAACAAGCCATATATGTGCATGGAAATATTGCCAAGGTAATCCATTTTTATTTATTTTGGCACTGTAGAAATGGTTGAATTGTTAATATGAAAAACAAATCTTTTAACTCTTAGTTATTTATAAACTTTAGAAAGAATATTAAGTAAAGGTTAATTCAGTTGTCTTTAAACATTTCTGCAAGAAGAAAAATAATTATATGACTACCATGTGACTATATGAAGAGTTTTTTTGTTTGAAGCTGATACTAGAATAAGCAGAATCTCACCCTAATTAAATATTTTTATTTTCTGTTTTATAAAAGATGTTTTCTTCAACAAATGATTCTTTCTTTAAAAATTTCTTTGTATTGGTGTGTCCAGTTCATTTCCAAAAGTTCTATAACCTAATACTTCATTGCCACAAATAAAAATGATGTTAAAATGAGTTTCTATGAGTCAATTTAAGTAAAGAAAAAAATAAAGGTGTAATTTTGAAAATATTGATAGTATGTAAAGTGAGTTTAACAGTTACATATATCCAAAAATGTATACATCTACTTTTCAGTAAAAGTTCTGTTTTGGGGAGTATTTCTTTGGAAGTTATTATTTGCTAAAGTTACTAATTGTTCTTGGGAGACTTTCATTTATACATTTACTTTTATATATAGTTCCATTAAATTAATATTTTTAAATGAACAAAGAAAGAAACATGTTTTTCTCTTGGTATTTTAAAATAGAGTCTTAAAATGTTTTTTTAAAACATAAAGTAACTTGGTTCTAGCCTATTCAGTAAAATGTGTATTTACTTTTTATTTAGAGGCCTTTCTGTCATTGTTTGTACATGTTTTTAAATGCTATAATAGTATATTATCATTTTTCCATTGTTGTCATACTAGCCTTTGCTATTTCTGTTACTCATTTTTCCCTTAATCCTTCAAAGTATTCTGGCCCAATGTTGGTATTTGTCTCCATTCCTATCTTAGTGGATGGACTTTTATATGTAATGACTGACATAGACCGAGTTTTAAAATAAGCAGGTGGTATTCATTAGGAAACCATGAAACCAGTGGATTGCATGACCAGCATTTCTTTTATAAGCTAACAAAGTTAAAATAGAAAGAAATTAGAAGAGTGTGTTCAATATAATAAGGGTAATATGGTTTCATGAAACTTTGATTTTAATCGTGTGTGTGTGTGTGTGTGTGTGTGTGACACTGACATGCAATGTATTTTTTACCATGGGTTGTAAGCAAAAGAGTTTTAAAAACACTGTCTTAAGTTAGGCTTTTAGTCAGTTACTAACTATGTACTTACCACTCTCAGAAAGTTAAGGTCAAAAGTACATGTTTTGCTAGATTGTGCTATTTTAAATAAATGAGTGAAGGAAGAAAGGGAGGGAGAGGAGAGAGAAAGGGGAAGGGGGGGGGCTAAAGATGGGAAATAGACTATGACAATAGTGGTTCTTATGCCTAGTTTACATTTGAATACCATGGTATTTATTATTCATAAAGGAAATTGACACCTGTCTCCCAGGAAATAGGTCATTTGCTTCAAATAAGCAAAGAATAGTAGATAGTATTAGTCAGTAGTAAACTTCGTTAGAGTTTTGCCTCAAAATAATTTTATGTAAAGTTTGTTTTTTTAATTATTTGGAAGTTCCCCACATGTAAGAAGACTGATCATTATTTACTAAAGAAGTGAATTTATTTCCTTCACAGAAGTTCTAGCATTGTGACACTTAACACCTCAGATTCTGCAAATTATTTTATCCAAGTTGTTTGAAGTATCACATTTCTAATATTAAACATAAAAATACTATATAGAAATGGTTAGCTGGAAGATTTGCTTCATGGTATTTATTCTAAAATGCCTTCTTATAAGTCCTAATGAATTAAAGTGAATCCTATTTTGGCGTCAACTAAACTAGAAATCAAACTTGTCTGCCTATTTGTGTCCAGAAGAATCCAGGTTTATTTATATACCTACTTAATATCTATATCTCAGTTTAAGAAAATAATTATCCCATCCCTGTTTAAAGTTTACACTGTAGATATTCAAATGGTGGATTGGATTTATTCTTTTGTGTGTACTGTAAAAGGACTAACCATATCTATGCCACTTTTTCCTAAGTGATGTCAGTGGTTCTCAAACTTTAGATAGTATAAAAATAATCTGATGCCTTTATTAAAAATGAAAGTTCCTGGTTTCATCCTTGATTCAGTGAGTTTACCAGTAATCTGCATAGTGGTTAATTATGTGGATTCTGGAACCAGGCTGTTTGGGTTTGAATGCCAACTTTACCATTAACTCTGAAACTTAGGTAAGTTACTGAACCTCTTTGTAATTTCAATTCCTCATCTGTACAATGGATAATAATAGTACCTACCTCAAAGGGTTGTTGTGAGGATTAAATGATAGAGCTTACTATTTTCTCTCTTGGTATTATTTTTTTTTTTTTCAAATAAACATGCCATATGCTTTAGATAAAAAAAAATACTGTGTTATGAGTAGGAAAATCAATTAGGAATTGGCTCAAGAGCATGTATTAATTATTAGACCTTTACCACTTTCTCCAGCTGCTTAAGTTCTTGAAAGAAATCTTAGATTTGGTCATGTTTCATAAGTCATGAAATCTCATGATTAAGCTTATAAGAATTTGAAAAGTGAAAAGAACCAAGTAATATTATTTGCATCATTATATTTAACCAGAAGAAAAAACTTATGTTTAGCCCTACTCTAGTGTTGAGTTATACATTTGGCATATAGGGGAACTTGTCAAATTTTTTTTAGTCAAATGGTTGCAAAAAATTAGGAAATACCTTTATTTTAATAAAATTTTTACCAAAAGCCTTTTACTTTAATTTGTTTAATTGAGAAAGAAATCTTATATATGAATTCTCATTTTGTACATAATTATAACAAAGTCATAGAAAGTATTTTATTTTTTAGAAAGTATTTTAAAACCTTAGTGTGTCAAGCCAAAATAAGTTTAAACTTATTTTAAAACAAGTTTTTAAAATAGCTTAAAAGCCTTAGTTACCATGACTCCGCTTTTTATTGGTAATCAAAATCTTTCATATAATGCACACTTGCTCCTGTTCTGTATGTCATTTATCCTAAAGGCTGCTTTGCAGAGGAAATTCAAAATCCAGCTAAGACTTTAAGTAAAAGTATTGTTTTAAAATGTAAGCATAAACTCACTGAACCTTAATACCTCTAAAAAAACAACAACTATGTTTCTCCATTTAACCAATGAAGAAACTAAAGAATATGAAATAAAGTACTGCCCTAATGTAACAAATTGGGACCAAAATTAAAATTAGAGTTTTAAGTGCTTCACTATGTTAAGGATCTTTTGATTACATTATTATTTTGAATTGCTACCTCTTAAGATAAGTATTTCTAACTTCAGCTTTTTGTTTCACTTTTAACAGCATGGGTTTTTACTTATACCTTAAAATTCTTTTAATTTTTAAATATATATAGTACATTGAGAGAAACATCTGTTTTTAATCATATAGTAGTAAAAAATATTTTAACTTGTTAATCAGATTTATTTTTTACGTCACACAAGATATTCTTATTTGCAAGTTTTAAAGAACTCATTATTGCTGGTATGGTGATCATAAGAAGTGAGAAGGAATTTTCCTGTCAGTTTTAACAGATATTAATATAATTTTAGCTTAAGTACAGTATAAATTTTAATTTACACCATGCATGTAGTGTTTTGCTCACAATTTTCATAAGTTATATAAGAATATTTTATTAGAATGGTAGTGAACATGATCCATTTCATTTGGACCTGTTCATTTTGACTTTTCTGCCTTGTATCCCTTTGTTTTTTAATATAATTTACTATATTCTTTTATTTTTGTATGCTACCTTACTCCTTTTGGATATATA